TTAAGAGTGTTCCTTCACCCCAATAATGAACCCACCAGGAAAAATCAGGAAAACAATACCATTAACAATGGCTTCAAGATAAATTAAACACTCACTGATATATGGATTTAATGCAATCTCAGTTAAAATACCAACAGTATTCCTCACAGAACTAGAGAAAACAGTCTCAAAATTCATATAAAACCAGAGTAGACACAGACTAGCAAAAGCAATCCTTGGCCACAAGCACAAAGCAACAGCCATCACAATTCTAGACTTTGTTATACTATAAAGCTACAGTGATAAAAACAGCATGGTACTGGCATGAAAACAGTTATGTGGATCAGTGAAACTGAATAGAGGATGCAGAAACAACTCCAGACACAATCAACTATCTGTTCTTTGAAAAAGGGGCCAAAAAATATGTTAAAGGAAAGAAACCCTCTTAGCCAGGCATGGTGGTGCACGCCTGTAATCCCAGCACTCAGGAAGCTGAGGCAGGAGGATCATTGCAAGTTTGAGACCAGCCTAGGGTACAAACTGAGCTCAAGGCCAGCCTGAACTGCATAGTGAGACCCTGTCTCAAAAAAAAAAAAAAAAAAAAAAAAAAAAAAGCAAAGAAACCCTCTTTTAACAAATGGTGCAGGGCAAACTGGCTGTCGATATGCAGAAGATTGAACCTATACCCATCTCTCTCACCATGTATTAAACTAAAATCAAAATGGATCAAAGACCTAAATATTAAAACAGAAACAATCTGCTGCAAGATACAATAGGTAAAACTCTTGAAGACACAGGGATACCAAGAACTTTCTAAACAAAACTCCAATTGCACAAGAAACACTGAGAATAACACTGCACAAATTACAGTAGAATCAACTAACAGGTTTACATCAAATATCTTCTGCAGAGCAAGGTAAACAATGAACAGTGAAATAAAAACCCACAGAAGGGGAAAATAATTTTTGTCAGCTACTCCTCAGACAAAGGACGAATACCTACAATATATAATAAAAACTCAGAAAAGTTAGACTTCCTAAAATAAAATTTTAAAATGAGCTGTTGAGGAGACACTTCTCAGAAATATAAATTGCCAGTAAATACATGAGAAAATGTTCAACATTTCTGGCCATTAGATAAATGTAAGCTAAAACACTGAGAATTCTCTACTACTCCAGAAAGAATATCTATCATGAAGAAATCAAAAAACAAGAAATGCTGGCAAGGTTGTGGCGGGTAATGAATACTTCTACATTGTTGGTGGGAACGTAAACTAGTACAACTACTATGGAAATCATGTATGGAGAGTTCGCATAACTCTAAAACTAGAAATGCCATTTGATCCAGCTATTCCCTTTCTAGTTATCTTCCCAAAGGATTTAAAAACATTATACTACTGTGATACATGTATATCCATATTTATATTAGTACAATTCAATACCTCTATCTTGGAAGTGGCCTATATGTCAACAGAAAAATGGATAAAGAAAATGTGGAACTTATACACAATGGAATACTACTCTATTACAATGAAGGATAAATGGGAGACAATTATAGAAAAATGTACAGACCTTGAGAACATAATGTTAAGTGAAATAAATCAGACATACAAGCTTAAATATGTCATGGTTTCTATTATATGAGAAACCCACAGTATAATTTAAAGAACAAAATAAAAGATAGATGAAAGGAAACAGGGAGATAGATCTTTTCCAAATGGGAAGAGGACCAAGAAATAGAAAGCAGGAGGAGGGGAAGTAAAAGAGAATTAACATGTGTTATGTACAGGTACCAATTTCCCACGATGAATGTAACCATTATGTACTTCAATCAAGTACTAATAAAAATTTGAAAAGAGTTTTGAAAAGATGGTAAATTTTAACGTTGTATATTGTGCATATTTATCTCAATTAAAACAAAATAGTTTTTTAAAAAGTAGAGAAAAATAAATGAAACAAAAAATTATTTTTAAAAAATATTAACACATTGGGGCTGGGGATTTAGCTCAGCGGCACAGCGCCTGCCTGGCAAGCGCAAAGTTGTGAGTTTGATTATCGATACCGGAAAAAAAAAAAAAAAACAAGAAAAAAAAGACCAAAAAAAAATATTAACACATTAATGAACATTTACCTAGAATGTATAAACAAAAAGGGGTAAGATTCACATTACTAAAATCAGGACCAAAAAGAGGGAATTACTACCAACTTTACAAAAACAAAAAAGGACTATAAATATCTCAATAAATTAGATAACATAGATGAAATAGATAAACTATAAAAAAAAATTGAGTGACTGAAGAAAAAAAATGAATAAACTTATAAAAGGAAAAAAGATTAAAGAATAATTTTAAATCTTCCCACTAAGAAGCTTATGCCCAGATGGCTTCACCACCAAGGATTTGATTATATATTTGTTTTTATTTTCATGGTACTTGGGATTAAACCCAGGGCCTTTGGACTGAGCTACATCCCCAGCTTTTTTATAATTTTTTAAACTTGATTTGAGGTAGGGTCTTGCTAAATTTCCCCGACTGGGCCTAAAATTTCATTACTCTGACTCAGCCTCCCAGAGTAATAGAAGTACAGGTGTGGGCCACCACACCCAGGTAATATCAAATATTTAAAAAGAATTAATGGTAATGCTTCACCAAGTCTTCTAAAAAATTTGAGAGGAAAACACATTTCTTAACTTACTCTTCAAAGCTACTATGAACCTGTAACCAAAATCAGACAAAGATACTGCAAGAAAAAACCTATATATGCCTTATGAATATATATAAACCCACCACAAACTACTGACCAACAAAAATATAGGAATATATAAAAGGGATTATTTTCCATTCCAAAATAGGTTTTATTCTAGGAATGAGTCTAAACATCAATTAATGCAATAAACCTTATCAATAAAGAAAAATGACCATATGACAATGTTTGTAGATTAGAGAAAGCATTACATAAAATTCAACACTTGTGAATGACAAAACCATTCAACAAATTATACATAGGAGGGAAATTCCTCAATCTGATAAAAGGTATCCACAGAATTCTTTACCATAACGGTGAGAAACTGAAATGCTTCCCCCTAATCAAGATGCCATTTTTCTTCAACATTATGCCTAAAGTTCTAGGCAATATAGTTAGGCATCCAGATTTGAAAGGAAAAAAAAAAATCCTTATTTGTAGAAAATATAACTTTGTGTATAGACTATCCTAAAGAATCCACTAAAAAGCTGAATCTCATAAACAAGTTGAACAAGGTTTTATAATACAAAAAAATCAATAGACAAATCAGTTGCATTTCTATACAGCAGCAATAAACAATCAGAAAATGAAATTAAGAAAACAATTTCATTTACAATAGCATCAGAAAAGTACTTAAAAATAAATGTAACAATTGAGTATGAAATTATAAAACTCTAAAACTTTAAATCATTGTTGAAAAAATAGAGGACCTAAATAAATGGAAAGACATCTGATCATCATGTACTGTAGGACTTAACTTTGCTAAGATTGTGATACCACCCAAATTGATCTACAGACTCCAAGCATTAGCTATCAGAATCCACCTGGGATTCTTCGTAGAAACTGACATGATGGGGCAGGGCTGTATGTAGCTCAGGAGCACAAACGCCTGCCTGGCAAGTGCAAGGTCCTGAGTTCAATTTCCGATACCAGAAAGAAAAAGAAACTGACATTATGGTTGTAAAATTCACATGAAATTTCAAGTGACTGACACATAGGAGTAAATCTTCATGACCTTGGGTTAGAGAATGATTTCTCAGCTTTGATAACAAAAGCAGAAGCAATAAAACAAATAAAATTTGGACTTCAAAATGAAAAACTTTCATGCTTCAAAAAGATATACACAAAAAAGGTGCTGGGGATTTAGCTCAGTGGCACAGTGCCTGCCTGGAAGGACAAGGTCATGAGTTCAATTCCTGGTACGGGAAGAAAAACAAAAACAAACAAACAAATAAAAAGATACACACAAAAAAGTGAGTAGAAAAATTCACAGAATAGTAGAAAACTTTTGATGATCATATATTTAGATGAGGGATTTATATCTAGAATACAACTTAATAATAAAAAGGCAAACGACCTACTTAAAAATAAACAGAAGGTCAAAATAAACATTTTTCCAAAGAAAATACACAAACCCCATGAAAAGATGTTGTATAACATCAACATATTTCATGATAATTCAAATCAACACCATAATCCTCTAGGATGGCTACAATCAAAACTACAGACAAAAGTGTTGGGAAAGATGTAGAGAAAATGGAGCCTTCACATCTTGGTCATCATTGCTTATTCTAAGATGCCTCTCTGATGTGTCTTGTATGCATAAATTAAACATTTATTCAATAAATATCTTTCCCATCCTGTACATTTTTCCCATTTTGTTAGACTTAGTGTCCCGGTTCGTTAAGGGAATTCTGAATCCAGATTCACTCAGGGTATTTGTAATCTGACCCTATTGCATCATACACGCACTAGACACCATTCTAGTCTTCTCCAAGTCATTAATGATGTTGAACATGACAGATCTAAGGGTAAAGTTCTAAGAAGGCACTTACTCCATTGCCCACATATTATCAATCCATTAACTCTGCAGTCTTCAATTAATAATTCAGCTCAGTTAATAATTATAATATGATCTAGCCTACATTTTCCATCTTGACTAGAACGAATATAGGAGAGCTTCCACTTCTATGACATTTTTCTGCACCTGGCTCTTCCTCTCTCCAAGTCAAATTGAACTAATCATTTTTCTCTTTCTTGCAACTGTAACTTTTCTCACTTTGCCATACTATATTATAGTAATTCTTTTACAAATAAGTCCTGCTATAAGCCCAGGCTCTATTAAAAGACACAGAGTTTAGGACAATGTTCAAAATTTAATCAGTACTAAATAAAAATAGTGAACACATCTTGTAATATAGACACACTAAAATCACATTTCCCATTTTTGCCATCATAGTGCTATTACATAAAATTTTAAAATCCCTTAGATACCCTTACCTGTAGCACAAAGGAAGCAGCATAGCTTAATAGAGAAGGGTGATGGACTATATTTAAGCTGTTTTTATACTTCAGTATTCCAGTTTTTTCTAGGATTTTGGGATCAATATATATTCCTTTCTCAAAGGGTTTGGATGTCCACAGGCAACCAACCATGGTTTTCAAATAATGATTAAATTGTTCACAAGTCTTGCTGCTGAAACTGAACTCTGATTTTGCCTAATGAGAAAGAAATAAAGTTATCATTTTCATTTATTCTTGCTTTTTCTTTTTTGTGTTTTTTGGTACCAGGAATTGAACTCAGGACCTTGCACTTGCCAGGCAGGTACTTGTGCTGCTGAGCTATATCCCCAGCTTAGTCTTGCTTTTTTCTTATCCTCAGTTTTTAAACAATGGTGATGTAATAGGTTGTCTATCATTCATACCTTTTGTAGCAACTCATTCTTCTTTGCAGCAACCAAATTTTTATGATACCTAATAGTAAGAAAAAATTAAATTAAGTGTTTAACATGACTTTGGATGTAATACTTTTGAAATGTAAAATAAACAAAAATGTACATTTTAAATGAAAATATATGCAAATGTGTATATACACAAATTTCTAGTTGTCTACTTAAGGATTTCATTCTTGTGTGATACACTGTCCTCAAAGAATTAAAATAGAGGCTCAAAACTGCATTGTGCATTTAAGATATGACCTTAACTATAGGTAAATTTTACCTCAATAAAAAATAAAATGAAAGATATGCTGTTGTTTCGCTATTAAAAATTAATAGACGGTTGAAAATTGTCAGTTACTGATACAGAATGCAGTTTATGTTAAAAATGGTACAGCAGAAAAGATAAAGAGGGAATTTAGAAATGTTACTTCCTTTGTGCCTGATAACTGTTGTCTAATTAGCTGTTAGTTTTTATTTTTATTTTTTTATTTTTTGTCTTTTTGAGACAGGGTCTTGCTATGCAGTTCAGGCTGGCCTTGATCTCACTTTATAGCCCCGGTTGGCCTCAAACTTGGAACGATCCTCCTGCCTCAGTCTCCCAAGTGCTGGGATTACAGGCATGCGCAACCATGCCTGGCTAATTAGCTTTTAAATATATTAATCCTGATATAGTTCTACATGTTATACCAAAAGGGTCTTCATTTACTGAGTGAAAAGTATAATTTCATTTCAAAAGCAAAAGAATTATAGGAGATCATAAACAACACTTATAGTTCACATAATTAGCAACAGCTTTTTTTTTTGGTTTTTCTCCGGTACCAGGAACCGAACTCACGACCTTGCGCTTGCCAGGCAGGTGCTTTGCCGCTGAGCTAAATCCCCAGCCCCTTAAAACTAGTCTTTTTTTTTTTTTTGGTTTTTCTCCGGTACCCGGAACCGAACTCATGACCTTGTGCTTGCCAGGCAGGCGCTTTTGCCACTGAGCTAAATCCCCAGCCCAGCAACAGCTTTTAATCTCCCAAAAGATGTTCTTTTTGCCAGAGAAGCTATATATATTGAAGCCAATCATCAACCAATGACTAACTTTTTTTTAAGACATAGAAATTAGAATTAACAACCTGTACCATTGCACAATAGATCTTTATAACTGCATCGGGGATTTACAGATAACACAGCTGTCATAGTCCCATACTGGAAGATTATGCCCAAACAACAGCCTTGTTTCTGTAGACCCTCGTAGAAAATCAATAGGAATTTTTATTGTGTTACAGTTGAAAGATGAAAACAGAATTACGATGTATTAATTCATAAAATAGTAAAATGGCTTGTACCTGTGAATAATGTAACAAAGCTGGTTCAAGACACTGGTATCCAAGCTGAGGAGTGAAGAATAGAAGATCCCAGGAGGAAACAATACCACTAATGGAAGATCATGATTTATATATATGTCACATACCTTTTGGGGAGAATGATAACATAAGTATATAGATTATTTTCCAGTAGTCAACTAACTTCACCCAAAGAGTCATCAATATAAGATAAGAAATAATATAACATTAACTTGCCTGATACCTACAATAAATAGGCAGCCACAAGTCTGCTTAAAATATACCTCATCAACATCAACCTTATTTCTAGAAGACCATTATGAAAATCTGTTTTTATTTTCTGTGAAGAAGTCTTACATTTGGGGAGGGGACAGGGTAGAAAAAGGGAACATGACTTTCTCCTTAAGTCCCACAAATACATCAATTATTATATGAGTTGGCTGTCAATTTGAAAAACAAAGGAGAGCAATGCTTCTAAGCAAATGTGTAACACAAGACAATCAGATATTAGTGAAGAAGGGAAGCCAGGAAAAGTGGGAGCATAACAGGGCTTAGTGGTAACAGGTCCATGCATTTTGACCACTGTAAAATAAAAGAGTACTAGAAGTAGAAAGGCACTAGGTTACCAGGAGAAACAACGCAGTTGAAAGGTAGGAGTAGAGATCTAGAGAAATATAAAAATATTTTCGGTATTTACAAGGTTGGGGATATACAATGGATGAATAAAAGGGATGTTAGAGATTTCTGTCCAGGGTCAATATTATTACAGGTCCATGTATGGAACCTGGACCAAAAAAAAATTACATTTGTTTTTGTACTTTGTTTTATGAAAGTCAGTTATTCAGTTGAAAATACCATCGTTAACTTCAAAATGTGAAGATATTTAAACTATACGAATAAGATCCATAGCTCACCTTAAATGGTTGTACATGAAATTTAAATAATCGGCCTATAAACAGCTATCACAAAAATCTAAATAGCGAAAATGAAAGTCATACCTTCTCATAGAAATCCAAAATAAAGTGCAACAAGAAAGTACTGTTGCTCTCCAAGCGCAAGGCAGTAGTGGACAGCCATCCTACATAGTGAATCAGTGTAGACACAGAGTTCATGGATCCACCCAAAGTTGTCTCTCTGCAATAAGACACCATAACATTTAGATCCAGGAAATAAAAGCGCTCACAATTTCCAAGCTAAAGATGGATAATATAGAACAAAAAGTTGATAGACATTTTAAAAACTATCAGTGCCTCATGGGATAATGTACTTTAAAAAATTACAGTGATTAATCATAAAACTATACGTAGTCTTCTAGGGAACTATTAACAACAATTCTTAGAACACTCTCAGCAACCAGATTCTGTAAGTAGATGTGAAGGGAAAAGGATTAAGTTTGGGGATCATACTAGTCAACGTATTTTTGTCTACTAATTGACAAGTAGTGAACGCTGACACTCCTCAGTAACAGAAATCCTTAAATGAAAGTTATATAAAAAAAAAGCAGAAAATCAGTATTCACTAACACAACTGAGGAACATAAAACATTCAGAATAAAATTTGAAAATAAACCAGAAAGAAGTAAATTAAAAAATAAGAATTAATTAATCTGAAATAAGTCACAAGTAGTTTAAGGAAATAAAGATTAAAATGAGCTAAACTGAATGGAAGTCAAAGTTGTAAATTCTAACCTCAACTCTCTAATATTTTGCTACACTAACTCGTGCCAAGTCATTTTGAGGCTAAAGGGCTGTTTATTGATTTATATAATGGGAACTTGGAAAATTAACTTTTCTCTCAGGATTAGGGGAAAATGAAAAGTAACAAAAAGTCTTACAGAAAAATACTACTAAACATTTAATGAAATAATTAGTTCTGAGGTTACACTAACTCCATAGGCAAACATTTTTACACAAATTACTTCTAGTGGAATACTGTAAAATTACTCACAGAGGACTGCTCGTTGTAGGTTTCATGTAGACGTCCATAGAAAGCCCTAACAGCCAATTCTGTAGTAGCTCTTTTAGACTCTGAAGAACACTACACTGTGGGGGCAGAACAAAAAAATCATTCATGAAAGCAGTCAGAACTAACTGTTCAGAACTAAGAGACTTAGAATGGGAAGGGACCACACAGATGACTGTATCCAGTTCAGAATTCAATAGCTGCTGCTCCAACAGGTTCAGTCTCCAAGGCACAGATGACTGCAAGTACAAGATTACTGTGCCATTTTCTCTGCAAGAAACAGGACTGCCCCAACTTAGCCTAGAAACAGACTTTTCTCAAAACTACGTTTATAACAGCACTCACTTCCACAGCACATACACTAAACTAGATTTACAACAAATATACCATTCTACCCCTGGCCCCTCAAAGACTCATGCACATCCCTTTACACAAACAGCATTTAGTCTATCTGCAAGAGTTGCTGAAGTCCTAACAGTTTCAGCATTGCTGAAAAGTCCAAGTACCAAGTCTCTTCTCAGATGTAAGGGAAACTCTTAGTTGCAAGCCCCCACACAAATGCAAAGTTAAGTATGTCCAACATTCAATGGCACAAAATAAGCACTTTCACTCCAAAAGTTACAAACAGGAGGGTACAAAGGAATGGGACCAAAGCAAGTCCAAAATCCAGCAGGGCAAACATTAAGTCTTGTAATCCCACATCCAACATCTGCAGCAACTTGTAGCACATTATGAGCTCCAAAGGGCTTGAGTGACTCCACCTCTGGTGGTTACAGCTCTCACAGTTTCTCTCTTAGGCCCACTTTGCTCCCTCCTTGCAGCTTTCCTTAGACAGTCCACATTCCTGGCTTTTCCAAACTTCTGAGGTCTCCACTGAACCTCTGGCTTTTCACTCATAGCTTCACACACTGCCCTCTCAGGGGCACACTGCCTGGTCTCCCAGGCCTCCTAAAATCTAGGTGGAAGCCCTTTTAACCTTAGAACTCTTGCATTCTGTGTGTGCCGAAAACCAGCGCCACATGGATGATGCCAAGGTCTGCTGCCACCTGGAGCAGTAGCCAAGCTTTCTGCTCTCTTGGCCATAGGGGTCAAGTGCCTCGATTGCTGGGCACTCTGAATACAATTCTGAGGAACAAATTCTCTACACCACCGCCATTCTGGAACCTGGTGTGGCTGCCGCTATTCTGGAACATGGCGCTCTACGGCTTTCTCCTCAGAGCAGTCTTTCATCTTCGTAGGTTTGAGGCTGCAAAGGGTGGAGACTTGCTGCTTCTTGTGATGCCCTCAGGCCACCTTTTCTATTCTGTTCCTTTTCAGCAATCATCAGGATCTCCTCAGCTCCATCTTTGCAATCCATAGCTTTACTGGAGCTTCCTTTCTGGCCAAACTCACATTTTAAATCATCCTGCTGGGCTCTTTGCTCTTTATTCTCAACATAAATCTCGCTAAAAGCCCCTAACAATAGCCATGCCAACACCTCAATTTTTGACTGCCTTGAAATTTCTTTTGCCAGATTAATCAGTCTACCGCCCTTAATCTCAGTCTCAGGCAGTCTCTGGACATGAGCAAAATGCAGATAAACTTTCTGCTAAGCCATAACATACATTGTCTGGCGTCGAACACCCAATGCAGTCCTTCTTCCCAGCAGAAACCTCCCAAGCTCGGTCTTTACGGGCAGGATTTCTTTCTTTCTTTTTTTTTTTCAGTACCGGGAATGGAACTTAGGACCTTGCACTTGCCAGGCAGGTGTTTATTTCACTGAGCTAAATCCCTGGCCCTTATAGGCAGGATTTCTATTAGCTTTCTGGTCTTCTGAGCTCTGACCAGAATCTCCCATACAGAACAGCCAAAGGCGTTCAAGCTCTTCTCTTTGAGGTGACATCTCTGAACCTTTCCAAACACTTCCCACAAGCCATTTCTAAAGGCTCTTGAACCACATGGTCAGGTATAGTCACAGCAACAACCCCACTTCTCTGGTACCAAATTTTGTCTTGGTTACTTTTCTCTCATTGCTGAGACAAAATTCGTGATGCCCAAAATTAAGGAAGGAAAGGTTTATTTAGCTCACAGTTTGTGGAGGTTTCAGTCCATACTTGGCTGGCTCCAAGAATAACAGGGAGGAGCAACGGCAAGCAGTGTCTTTCCCTCCCTTACATTGTATGCCAACTACCCGCCCCCGGGGCAGGTGTAGCACTCACACCCATAATCCCAGCACTGCACTATGGATCAATCAAAAACCTAGAAGCCCACCCCATGACTGCATGAGGATTTGGGGGAGGATGTACAGACACAAACCATAATAATCATCAAATAAAAATATCATCCTTACCATCCCTTCTCAGAGATCCTTTGAAGTTGCTACAGACCTGAGTTCCTCACTGTCTGTATACTGTGGTCCACAACTACCCTTTCTGAGGGTCATATAACTTTATCATCTATGACTTTAAAACACAAACAATTCTAATCATTCCTTTCTCAGGCCTTGCCCTGATTTCTCAGAGCCTCACTCACATATAAAACACACAGTCATAATAGAAATTTATCCAGGGACTATCTTTAAATTTGAAAACAATACATATATCCTGAAAGCAAATACAGGGAATCTTTCTTAAACTTGATGAAATAGTGGTCTAATCATTTAAGTAGTGACAGGGTGCTCAGAGTTCAACTGCTATTTGTAGAAACTGACACTTCATATTCAGGTTAGAAATATATGTAAGTTGAAAGCACCTCTGGAGTCATCTAAAACAATCTTCTATTATAAAACTTCTCTACTGGGGAATTTTATTTTTTGAAAAGATATTCAACATTACAATGTTACATGTAGAAAACAAAAGTCTTTAATTCAATACCCACCTATACTATCCTTCCTGCCCCAATATTAAAGAAAGGTATGAGGTTTTCAAGTTTACAGCAGGAAATGGGTTTTTAAAACAAAAAGGCCAAGAAAGATACTTACATACTGCATGTGAATCTTTTCTATTTACCTTCTGCCCGTTAACCTCCACATGATCTACCCTACAGTTAGGAAATATACACTACCTCTGAAGCACCTCCATTCCATTTTGAGTCTGTTGCACCTGTAATAAAATACTGCACTCTATTTAACTCTGCATGGTTCAGCCATGCAGAAATTTCCTCCTTCCATGTGATAATCATTCAAATATTAGAAGGGAACCATAAAATCCTAGCCTTTTTTCTTCCAGACAAAATGTCCCTAATTCTTGGAGATGAAGGATGTATTTCAGTAAGAGAACACTTGCCTACCACGCATGAGGCCCTGAGTTCTATTTCTAGAACAGTAAAGAAAAAAAACCAAACTCCCCATTTCATTCTAGGTCCTTTACTATCTCAAACTAGAAAGCCTGCAGTCAGTTTCTGTCCTTCCTGCTTGATCTCTAGACACTGAATCTTACCAATTTTTTCCTTCAAAATGCCCACTTTATTTCCTTCCAAATCCCACTATAATTACCTTAGACCAATTCTTCAAAGCTCTGAGGTCACTTAATTCTCCTACCTGGTCTCTCATACTCTAGTCTCTTCTCTAAATCCCAAGTCTTTCCATGGGTGCTACCCTTGTATTAAGCCATCCATTATATCCCTCTTCTCAAGAACCTGCAGTGTGTAACACTTTAGCAAAGGAATAATATATAACAAGGTCATAAAAATGTTCAATCCCTCTCCTTTCATCTGGTAATCTCATTCCTGGAAATGTATGCCAAGAGAATAGTTTAAGAAAACAATGGAATTATGGAGTTAGTCAAGAAAATTATTCCTACAACAGAAACAAATTAGAAATAACAATAGAGAAAAGATTAAATTGTGGTACTAGGACAGTGGTGCCAACTATTAAAAATATTGTGAAGATGGTAGAAACATGGAAATTGTCATGCAATGGTAATCTTGCATTCTGATATTTTAATTTGTTAGTTATATTTGCAACTATATATAAAAATGATAAATCAATAAAGATCAAACCCAGACAATTAACATTCCAATCAATAGTAGCAATGATATGAGGCTTTTCCCATGCATGCAAAATTCTACAATGAAAAAAACTTGATGACAGGTACAACTTACCAGGCACAAACAAAAAGTACTAAAAATGTGTAAATAATATTTTATAATACTATTCATTTATTAGAGTAAGGAGGGTAATTAAACTGTATGACTCAGTACTACAAAGCTTCATAAACTAATTGAATTTCTAGCTAATTCTACCCATCTAACTTTCTTATTGTCCTTTGATACAAGCTAAAATGTAAACCCCTTTGTGTTCACCTATCTTTTCTTATACAATACTATACTTCTCATGCTTTTGGTCTCCTTTCATTGGTTTTATCCTTCCCAAATCTTTCAGTTCTATGGTAATCTATATATATACCTTCTCTGTCTTCTGCCCCGATCATATTTTGGCTCTCCCTCAGGACCCAACCAGGACACTTTCCTCTCCATATAGTTCTACATTCACCTCAGTACCAAAAACTGTCGTAGCTCCCAAATGTTAATGTGGGAACAGAATTTAAGCCCCTTCTTTGAGGAAACAAATATAAAATCATAACTGAATCTTATTTTAAGAGAATCAGATTGAATTTATAGCAAATGGGCTTTCTATTTAATCAGGTGCCCCAGAAAACATTTCCATTTTAGAATGTTTACAAATATTTTGTGAGCCAAAACTCAGTCAAGCCTCATTAGCCAAATTACTGCTAACAGTTGAATTTCTTAGACTAGGATCAAAGCCCTCCATTTTAGATTGCATTTTGCTAGTTTTTCTCATGTGAATATCCCTTGGTTTTCTAAATATAACACAAAATGTCTATTTTCAAACAATTATTTCTCTCTTGTGTATATAAATCTTTTTCCTTTGATGGTCATATCATCCAAATACACTACCCATTACTTTTAAAATTTTGATTCACTTTTTTAGGTGCTAGAGATTAAACTTAAGGCCTTGTCCACACTAGGAAAATACTCTACCAGTGAGCTATACTTCATCTCGCTTTACTTTTTTTTTTTTTTTTGTCTTTTTGAGACAGAGTCTCGCTATGTAATTCAGGCTGACCTTGAGCTCACTCTGTAGCCCAGACTGGTCTCGAACTCGAAATGAGCCTCCTGCCTCAGTCTCCCCAGTGCTGGGATTACTAGTGTGCACCACCACACCTGGCTTTCCCTTTACTTTTAATCTTTCCAAATTACTGCTACCTGTATCATGGAAACTCAACCATATTCATTGAGGATCTCAGTACTCGGCCTCATGTTCTGCCACTGACATGTCAGAACTCACTCAACACTTCAGCTTCATGAATCCTTGGCCTCCAATCAAAGAATCTTCACCTTCACTCTACCCTAGTTATCAACCCTATAGTCACACATTAGTGTCATAACCTGAACTAAACCACACTGCAAACTACTATTAATCTTTCTTTGTTATAACTTCCTATTCGTCTAGTTTCCTCACACCTTCAACTCCCAACTAGTTACTTTTGCTGTTCAACTTCAGAGACATTAGTTCCTCGATTATATCATTTTTAACCTTGATTTTCAGGCTTACCAAAATTCTCTTGTCCTTACTCTTCTACCTAGATTAAATCACACTATCAAATTGTTCTCAACTCTCTTGCACCCCATTCAATCTGCAAAACTCAAACTGATTTATTCAATCTCATAACTTGCTTTCAGTTCTTAAACAAAAGAAAATCAACTATACAGATTGCTCCCACTTCAAATTTGTCTCCAACATCAGCTGGGCCATTAATGCAGCACTAAATCCTTTTACTTCTCTCTGTGTCTGTGTCTTCCTTCTCTCATTTTTTTCAGTGGCTGTCCTTAGCAGATAACATTCTCCTGAGGCATTCTACTTAATTCTATCCTGTATGAAATACTTACTGTTCTGAAAACTTTAATATTTCTTGGCACAAAGTATTCTAATTTCTTCCCTTTTCTTCCAACTCTACCCATACTTGTATATAACCACCTACCCACTATTCCTTCCCTCCAGTTTTAGAGAAGGGTGGTACCTCCCAACCTCTCCCCGTTGATTTAAGTGAATCCCTCTACTCAGTCTTAATCCACTACCTTCATGTTTCTTCTGGAACCTTATATCATCAGGACCCAACTGAAGCCTCACACTATACTAGACAAGTGTTCTGCCTCTGAGCTACAGTCCTAGCCCTGTACTGACTTTTTCACTTTTCATGTACTTCTCAAGCCCTACAATGTGGCATCTACTGGCATCCCTATGCCCACATACCACCGATATTACTCAAAACAGGAGCACAAATCTCTGTACTACCAATTACAAAAGAAGCACTTTTTGTTCTTTCTTGACCTTCCTGGGATATTTGTCATCATTATTTCTTCACTGCCTCCTGAAACCCTGCGTTCCCTTTGTTTCTTTCATTCTCCTGGTTCTTTTTCTATCTCTAGTAATTCCTTCTTAAGATGCCTACACAGAATGTTCTCATTTTGGCCTGAGAATTAAATCCTGAATATGTTCCTGAAATGTGCTCTTGGCCCACTATTTTCCTTCTTTCTTTCCTTTTTTTCTTCCCCCACCCCTTTTAGTCTCAGATATATGTAGGTATGCAGAAATGTACACATGTATTAGGTTGAATCCTAAGAAACTCCTAGTTGTCAACAATCTTTGACCTATAAAAATGGCAACTGCTTACAGTAACCTAATGTTTCTTGATAAATAGCTCTTTATAATGGTGGAATTAGAGAAGAAATAAAGAAGCTGGGCATGGTGGGACATGCCTATAATTCTAGCACTTTGGGAGGCTGAGAGGATTGTGAATTCAGGCCAACCTTAGACAACTTAGCGAGATTGTGCCTCAAAAAATAAAAAGGGGCTGGGGATATAGCTTAGCAACACAAGCACCTGCCTGGCAAGCCTAAGGTCATGAGTTCGACTGTGGGTACCAAAACCAAAAAACACAAACAAAAACAAATAATAAAAAGGACTAGGGATATAGCTCAGTGAGAAGGTACTTAGCTCAGTCCCCAGCACTGTTAAAAAATAGCCATTCTATAAGAAAGTGACTCTTAAACACACTCAGGTACTCCTGGAAGCCATACTCGTCTTTTTGGAAACTGTCCCCAAATAGTAACACATTTAATATTATCGTGTAAGGTTGGAACAATTTTGTTAGCAGAAAGTGACTATATTATAAATATACAATATGAACAACACTGGTGTATTCCTATCAAGAGAAGGGTGACTAGTCAGCCTGGCATACGGATACACGTCTGTAATCTCCGCTACTGTGGAGGCTAAGACAAGAGGGCAGTAAGTTCAGGGTCAACGTGGGCAACTTAATGAGACTCTGTCTCAAATTAAAAAATTAAAAGGGCTGGAAATATAGCTCAGTGGTAGAATGGACCTAGGTTCAATCCCTAGCACTGGGGAAAAAAAAAAGGAGGACTAGTACACAGGGAATACTCAATAAATACTTGTGAAATGAATACATGTATCTATAAAAATATAAACCAAAACAATATAATTATGGTTGTATATTTCCCAGTTTGTTTTTATTAATATGAGCTATGATAAAAATACAGGGTGACTTAATAAATTAAAAGATTTATTACAGTAAAGGATACATTGCCATTAATCCTTCAGAGAATATTACCCCTAGCTTTGAACACACTTATCTCACCATTCTTGCCACCTTCTGAAGCACTTCTGGAAGTCTTCTTTTGTGAGTGTCTTTACAAGGAGTGATAAAAAATACCATGAATGCTGTTGCCCAGTGCCATCCAATAGAAAGGCAGGGTCCTAAAAACATTATGATGTATCCTCATTGATCTTAATTAATCAGATCTAGTATCATGCAACTTCTGGTCTTCCCAAAAGTCAAAATGATCATGAAAGATATACGGTTTGAGTTCATTCAGTACATTAAGGCAAGCATGACAACACAACTAAAGACACTCGTGAAAGAGGACTTCCAGAACTGCTTCAGAAAGTTGCTAGAGATCACAGCCAATACTTTCACGACTGCTAATGCCATCACCAGCACCTCTGCTGCTGCCTCTGTGGGGCCCTCTGCCTCGTCAGTGTAACCCAGGCCCTCTGTCCCAGAGAAGCCATGCTGGATTTCTCTCTTGACCCCAGGGCACAGGCATGGCAGGTGATGGAGGTAGGAGAATGGTATGGTGGACAGTAGAAGAGCAGGGTAGACCCTTGTGGTGAGGACTGGTGGGGGCTGTCACCCCACCAATCAGGCCTTGCTGACTCCCAGTCATACAAAGTTCTCATAACAGAGAAGCTCAACAACCAGTGCATTTGATACCATCTAGTGGGACTCTCTGGCTGATATGGACAATAAACCACATCACCAAAACCTGAGGCAGAATGTATAATTCTGTTGACACATCAGGACGTGCAAAAAAAGGAACAAGGACCAATTTCAAAATGGTCTGAGGCAGTGTGTGGTTGGATCACGGATGTTGAAAGTAGGAGGATTATTTTTCAGGTGGTGGATCCAAAACTAAACCACATCCTCAGGACACAGCATAAGCAACTCATGAGGTTCTAGCAGCCCGGAAAAAAGAAGCTGTGCTTGTGCCCTCTCTCCAGTGCCTAAAATCCAGGATCCTCCAGCTCCACCCTAGGACACTTCTTAAGAGTAGGCCTGACACCTTTTGAGAGCTCCATTTAATTAATGGATTCCGTTACAGTGTACCACTTCAGTCAGTAAGGGTCACCACTGATTGTAAGATTTCCACCTTGACTCTGGGGCAGCGGCAGATTGAATAGGGAACAATTTTAGGAGTGACAAAATTGCTCTGGATTGTGCTACCGTTTGGGCAGCCCTTCGAAGGGTGTGACACACAGGAGACACTACAGAGGACTGAGGTATAAACTGTACAGCAAGCTGGGGTAGTCCTGAAACAAAATTTTATACTTGAACATGGAGATTGCACATGGGTTATAGAGTCTGTGCTCTGGGATAAACAGAAGCTATAAAGAAAGAACAACCAGTCTCAAAGGTAACCTCAAAGAATAAGGGCAGAGTTAGTTGAGAGCACGTACTGTGTTTGACAGTGCTTACTTGGTATTCTGTCCCAGTTACAAACTAGAAGGCACAGGCCATTAGCATAAGGTAGCCTTAAAGTTGTGTGACTTTCTTGTACATGAATGTTCTAGCCAGTTTCCTTTTCCTTGTCTGAGGTGACAAAACATGGAACCCTAGAGTGAATGAGGAAAGCCCAGACATTTGTTATACAGAAAATCATTTGCAGTCTCTCTGTCCAGAGTACCTTTCTGCCCTGCAAGGACTAGTGAGAGTTAGAAATGTGTATTTGGTTTTCATGTTTGTGTTTTTAAGAAAACTGAAGGATCATTAAATGGTGTAAGTTTTATAACAGCCATTTGATGCTCAAAAAAAAGGTAGCTGGCAAGAATGATGGGATAACTGTTCAAAGCGAAGGGGAGTATTTTAAGGCTACAAAAGTGAAGGACCCATAAACAGTGTAGGTTTCATAATAAAATCATTTGGTATTCAAACAAAAAAGAAAGTGGCAAGAATGATGCGTCTGTTCAAAGTGAAAAGAAGTATTTTGAGAGAGATTAATGGCAATATGTCTTTTTCTATCATAAATTCTTTTAAAAATTGAAATATTCACCATAGTTTTCAACATACCATGTACACATTTGCCACATTCATCCATTTTCCCATTTGTAACAAGTGGAAACAGTTCAGGAAAACTTACATGACAGAACCTTAAAAGCAGAAAATTATAGGCATTACTCTGAACTGAGTAATGAAGTACCTCAAAGACCAGGTCCAAAAGAATCAGAAAACCACTGCCAAAATATCAGTTTGGAATTTCATATTGCCGGCAACAGAACAATACTCCCTACTGATTCTAAGCAAGACAGGTGCTTTTTACCTTGAAATAAATGGTTGATGTAAAGAAGAGCTGTGCCAGATGGTCAAAAAGTAGTGGTTTCACCTCTAGGAATTAGAAATAAAAATTATTGAAAATGCTTTTTTAATTCATATTACACTAAATGAAATGACTCCAGGCTTTCAGTGATACATACCAGAGAAGCTACTAAAAGGAATCCAGCTCACAAGCTGAAGGAACTGTGACCGACAACAAAAGCCATCCCAGAGAGGAATGCTCTTATACAGGAAAGCTTCACAGGAATAAAACCCCTCCTGAAACACAAGTCAACAGCAGAACCTTACATGGAAGTCTTCAGTCATGACTGTTCCTAGACAACCAGTTAATCTGTGCTACAGCTGTTTTACGCTAAGAATAACTATGTCATTGATCTAACATAGCCTTGTTTTAGGTGCCAGACTTTCTCATTGAAAAAGATGAGATAATCAGTATTTGGATACATTACCACCTTTATCAATATAGATTTCAGATATCATAGAACATCGTCAGTTGCAAAGAAGGTAAAAGGCCACATAATGGAATATTTTTGAAGATAAATGAAGTTTATTATTTTGGAGTACATAGAAAAACTTGAACATTTAACAAAACATGTACAGTATTATATAATAGGGACAGAATTTCACTAGAGGCCATAGACCAAATCCACACTGAGCAACTTCATCTGGAGAGGCCCAAGTATTTAGGTTGCTTATGCTTCCACCAGAGTATGGACCCAGGACTTCCCTTTATCTCTTGGTACTGGCATGTACCAAGACTCTATCTCACACCTTTTTTATGACAAAAGTTCTCTGCACAATCTCCTCCATATGAGAGGAGATTAAAGCAACTACCTTTATGTTTTGGGTGGAAAGGATAGCAAGTCACAAGCAATGGATATCAACAAGATCTTGCTTGCATCTTGAGTAACGAACAAACTGTGAGTAGGAAGATAAATTTTTGCATCAAAATGTGTTCAATACCAAATCTGACTAGTTTCAAAGCAGCTGGGCACCAACGTATGACTATATTCCTTTCCTCAAAGAATGCCATCTAGCCTCTTAAGCAGGAAGCCTACAAGTCAAACTAGAGTGCTCCCTTATCCTCACTACCATCATTTTCCAATTAAATGGTTTCACACCAAACCTCTATTGAGCATTTCTTTTGTACAAGGTACCAACTTAAGCATTTGTACATGAAAAAAAGGTAAGACATGTATTGTGCCTTCTGGGAGCTCATAATGTACGGGGACAAATGGATGCTGAAAGTGCTACGACAAGGATAACGACAGGAAGCAATGGCAGCACACAGAACAATGAGTTAGCCCAGATGGGGTGGTGCATGGAGGCTTCTTGACGGCACCGATATCTGAATGGCATCTTAAGGTACAACGCAGTGTTACCCAGGCCACATAGTCCATGTTCCATGGCTGGAACATATGTGACACTAAAAAATGTTTGCTGCTACTAAGAACAGAAGTAGTAACCTCATGTGATGGATTTTACTAACTTAATTGAATGCATTCAATTATATATTCAGTTTGTTCTCCTAAACTATAGGTCTTTCCCTTTTATCTACATAATTTAAAATATTCTTTCTTCAAATCAAATGGCGTAAGGATGAATAGCTCTCCAACTAAGTTCCATTTAAAATGAGTTACATATTGAGCAAATACCGTTTAAAAATGTCAGGTACTAATGAAAAGGTTTTTGATAAACACCTAAATAAATTTTAGTAAAAAGTGGTGGAGTATGTAGCAGGCAAATGGAATCTTACTTGTAAGAAGCACTCTGCCCTGATGATGGTGTCCAAGAAGTTGGTAAATTCTTCTCCATGTTCATAATCATTCACCTTATACCAAATACATTCTACAGCAGAAACAGTAAATGTAAAAATCTTGTTGTGCAATAAAAACTGCACAAAACATAATTATTACTACTCTGAAGTGACAAATTAAATTTTAAAACCTGTAGGCTTCATACATAACACCCAACTCATAGTTTAGATCGTAACGAAGATGTGGGGGTGAGAGCGAGATATATTTCAAGAGTATGGGAACACAGAGGAAAGCTTATAGTGAAAAAACGCATAAAATTCACACATAATGTGATTATCTTTATTTCACATAGTAATATAAGAGATGATAAATGCATGAATGAAAAGCTTGAGCCTTCCCTGAAATTCAATTAGAGTGAGTGGGATATCATCTACAAGTGGTAAAAATTTACTAAATGGAAATCCAATGAATTGTGCTTCACATCCTCTCTGAAGAAAAGACTGCAGAAGGAGAATTAGCCTGTAACTAACTTAAACTGACTTTAAACACCTGAAGAGTCAGAGGCTGCTTATCCAACAAAGAAATGCTCAATCTAGTCAATAAAATATACTACTTTGGAGGAAAGAAATGATCAGCCCTCGATACGGCCTGGATGAAAGACTTCTCACTGCTCTTTCCTTTAATTCCATACATGAAAACATTTTTAATGACAAATTTTTCTCTCATATATTTTGCTGACAGACGGAAAATACTCTAGTTGGCAGACATGAACACTTTAGTCATGAGAAAGTCACTTCTATTATAAAATAAGTTGACACACTGGCTTATATATGAGTCTTTTCTGAGTTTGGTTAGAATTAATCCAATGACTCTTGCAGATGGCAAGTTTCTGGGAATAGAAGGAAGAAGAGGCCTTGTGCTGTAACAGTCATCAGAATGGAACCATTCAGTAAGTCCGGGTGGCCATTCAGTAGTGCTTCCTTAACAACACCTCTCCTTTCTTACTGCCTTAAAGTTATAACAGAAGCATTCGTGCTATAAATACATAACTAAAGGGAAATAATTATGGCATAAGAAGGCTCTTTTGTCTGGAATTTGGCAATCTTAGAAAGGAACCCATTTGTAAACCATCTTGTTCCATTCTCATTTATCCAAAGTTTTTAAGTGCATTCTTACCTTCTTGTAATGTTTGACTCAACCAGTGGTACAGCCTCAGTAAGAGTGACTCATCTGTGACACAGTTCATATAGTGAAGCAGCAGAGAGTTGTTCAGCACTGAGCCCATCTGAGAGGGCAGCTGTAAAGACGGTACAATCAGTCAATAGCAGTACATGAAAAGCGGGCCACGGCACAGAGGATACCATTACATAGGAAATATATAACAAAAATTAAAATCATGAAGAAAACGCATAGAAGCACATAGTCCAGCCACATACCTCTAAGCAATGAATGTTTTGTAAGAGTTGAGGGAAGCTTTGAAGCTGTTCTAGTGGAAGTGATCTATTGCAACTGAGACAATCGGAAAGACTCATCTCTTTTTTTCCACATCCTTTAGCGTAGCTACCAGACTTTAGCCCTGGTATAACTGAGTGAGAATTCCACTTCTAAAAAAATGGGAGGATATATCATTGAACTAAACAGACCACAAACTTTAAATACAAAAGTAGTTGCTGCCAGCAGCAATAATAACACATGCCTGTAATTCCAGCTACTTGAGAGACTGACAGAAGAGGATCACAAGTTAAAGGACAGCCTGGAAAACTTAGTAAGAATGTGTTTCAAAAAAAAATTTAAAATTAGCAAGGATGTAGTTCAACGCTACAGCACATTGCCTAGGAAACATGAGGCTCTGAGTTCAGTCTCCAGCACCGTAAAAAACAAACAAACAACAACAACAAATAGTTGTTAAGGCATTTCAATTAATGGAATCTGAATAAGGTTTATATAAAATCCTGGGAAATTAAAATATATTTAAATATCTAAAGTCTTCTCCAACATCTGAATGGTTATTACCTGAATTTAACAAAAGGAAGCTACACAAGTCATTTGGGGCTTCAATACTTACTCTTTTTAGAGGACGTAAGTCAGCCGGACTTAATGTCAGTTTTAGAGGTTCAGAAAAATGTCCATGGTTTCTAAGTCTCACAGCAAGCACAGCTGAATCCCAAAGATCCTTTGAATTCTTAAAGTAGATCTATAAATTTGAGTGTAAAGTGTAAGAAAGTAAGTATCCATAAGTAAGAGCAACATAAAGTAAAAAAGTCTTTCTTACTTGAAGATATATTCATTAGGAAATCATTTACACCCATATAACTCAGTAATCTATAGAATGCACCAAATGAGATCAATACAAAGTGCCATCCCCAATAACACTTCCCCCAAACAGTGTCACAATATTGCATCTTTAAACAGCAGGATGTAAATGTTTTAGTGTTAATTTGTAAATTAACTTTGTCAAATACAATATATTGCAATCTCAATATAACCTATCTCTCCATAACCCCTTACCTTTTTCCTTGCAGGCAAAGATACAGAAATCAAAGCAGGAGCAAAGAACTTATACAGTGACAACAAAGCCTGGAGATGAGGCTGCATTCCCTGAAATAAAGTAGAATTTTCCATTTTTGATTATGTAGTCAGTGAGAAATTAAGGAAACAAATACCAAGAAGATAAAAGTAACAATAAACAAACGAAACATATACTCAGAATATTGTCACTAGCAGCATATTCAAGACTCAAAGTTTACTTGTTCTTGATTTGGACATCAAGAAGGTAGGCCCAGAAAAAAAACCAAGAAAACAGAGCAGAGGAAATATTAATATAGTACCCGATCATCATAAATCCTGGAAAATCTACTAGGACTCTTACGATTAGTATGCAATAGTCAAACAGCTTGATATATCTAAACAAGTCTTAATGAAAATACTAACTTCAAAATGAAGCTATTGCTTTTAGATATGTGATATAGCTGACTATCCAGAGAAAGCAGACTGCTAAAATGAATTTCAAGAAAGTAACCAAATTATTTCATTTGATTATAAAATTTTATTGATTTTAATGCCATACAAAGTAAGGCAGAAGACAGTGCTTACAAATAAGAGTACAGTATGCATTGTTGAACGACACAGATATGTTCTGAAAAATGCATTGTTAGGTGACTTTGCCATTGTGTGAACATTACAGAATGTGCCTATGCAAACCTAGATGGCACATCCTACTATGCACATAGGCTGTATAACTTTTTTTAACTTTCACATACGACAATATGTGGTACTTGTCTGTAATGGTTGATACACTGTGCCAACTTAAGAAGTCTAGAAGCTTAACTGAGTAACTCAGCAGTTCTGCATCCTAGGGTATACAGGATATACCCTTACTGCTCTATGATGTTGTTCATTGTGTCAACTTGTGAAGTTTAGAAGTTTAACTGAGTGATTCAGCAGGGGATCAGGGTCATCACTTTGGAAACACCCTCAGCCTGTGCAAGATGAGGGCATGGAGATTGTGTGAGTGCTATACCCACCCGAGAGGGACAACCTGTACACAATATAAGGGAGGAAAGAGGCTTGCTCTCCCACTTTTTGCTCTTGCTGCTTTTGCTGTGTTCTGTCACCTTGAACTGTTGCCCCCTCAGCCATGCTACCCTGCCTTGGAGCTAGCTGATTACAGACTGAAACTTTTCCTTCTTCAATTTTTGGTGTTGGGTATTTTGTCTCAGCAACCAGAGAAAACTAACAAAGACATTATCTTTTTATGTATCACTTCACTTAACACAATATTCTCTAGTTTCATCTATTTTGCTGCAAATGATAGCATTACATTATGCTTCATGGCTTATTATTCTACTAGGTATATATAGCATATTTTCTTAATCTATTCATCCACTGATAGGCACCAAGGCTGATTTCATGTCTTAGCTTATATTATGGTGCCATAATAAACATAGTGTGAAGGTATCTCCTTAGTAGGCTGATTTCATTTCCTTTGGATATGCTGTATGCCCACACAAGCAATTGAAAGGGAATTAAAATTTAAGTAAAGGCCAGCCAGGATGCCTGCCAAACCCAAGAGGACATACTCAGGCAAGCCTGGTAACACAATAGTTCTTTCTTTGTGTAATCCCTGTCTTTATTGTCTTTGTGTAACTGACAGCCTTGCAATGTAACTTGAGGCCGATGATGGCCTTGCAATGTAATCTGAGATGCTTAAACTCCCTTGGCAACTCATGATTATCACTCAACCCTCCAATCATAATGTACCAGATCTGATGCTGTACCTCCCACTTGCTCTCCCCTTAAAAGCCCTAAAACCTCACTGGGCAGGGCTCTGACACTTTAGGAGCAATTCCAGTCAGGCCCATGTGTGTAACAAAATTGCTGTTTCCTAGACCTCCTTAGTGCCATGTCTTCCTCGGTTTGGTCCCTTTTGCTGTAACAGGATAGCTGGATCACATGGCACTTCCACATTTAGTTTTTTGATTTCCATAATGGCTATGATAATTTACATTCTTACCAACAGCATAAAATAGTTTCTTTTTGCAAGTCTTCACGACTGTTATTTTGGGAATTTTTTGATAATAGTCATTATAACTCGGGTGGTAAGATGGCACTTCACTGTAGTTTTGATTCCATTTCCCTGACAACTAATGATATTTAACAATTTTTCATATCTTTGTTGGACACTTATAACCGAAACTAAATTTATTAAAACAAAAACAAAATGACAGTTATGATGTTGGAAATATCTGCTGAGTTAGGGCCCCAAAGAAGCTGCAGACTGCAACCAGAGAAAGTGAGAGCCAGCAACGCACACACAAAAAGCAACCTTCCCCTCATCATCCTCCCAAACACCAAACACCGTACCCTGTCACATCTCACCCACCACCAATCACTCACTGTCAGCAAGGAAAGCTCCTAGCCCTGGAGAGAGGGTCTGAACACTACAAACCGTGGGCGGTGCCAAGCGCACTGGCAGGGAGCCACAGATTGCATCCCTGAGACCACTGTGGAAACAGGAGAGACTCAGTGAAGCCAGACCAGAGTGGGCAATTTCCTACTGTTTTCCCAGGCACTGGAAAGAGCTATGATAGAGAAATCCTGCCCTCTGTCCCATGTGGGTAAAGGAGGTCGTCTGCCAATCCTGGAGACTGCACCAAGTTACATATATTGGCAAGAAGAGTTCTTGAGACAGAAACAAGAGACAGACACACTTGAGCATGAACAGAAAGAGGTGCCTGGGGCTGACGGCTTCTGGTGATATACTGGGCAAAGGCCTCCAGAGTGAGACTGTGAAGATTTGCCCTGCAGCTAGGGGAGGAAAAGTGGGAGGGTAGGTATTAGGCAAACTGCATCACTTCCTCTTCTTCTCTAATTGATTGAGGTGGTCAGATATTGGGAAAGAGACAAAGGTCTATAGGTGGTCACACCCCAAAACATGGCTTAAAACTAAAAGGCGGATCCAGAGAGACTGACAACCCTTGCCACACTTGGGCAGGCAGTTAAGCATATCATAGAGAGGAAACCAGCTCGGCTGCCAGCAATCTAACTATGACTAGAGCATTAAGGGAATCATTTAGACACTCTGGCTATGTGTCACTGGGTCCAATACAATTGAAATGACTAGGTGAAGTGGTAGACAATACCTCTTGACAAATAAAACCAAGACCACATGACTGGAAATTAGAACCTGATTTAACAGATCTTAATGTCAACAACAAAGTCTCTTCACTTGATTTGACCTCAACCTTCAGCCCAAATCAAATTAAATCAAATCACAAAAACACAAGACAACTGAGAAAATTCCTTTAAAGACTCCCAACTCTCCCAAAGTAGATCCAAGGGGCACCAATTGAGGAAATCAAACACAAAATAGCTGAGCTGTACAAAATGTTGAGAAAGGAAGCAAAGAAACTTTGCAAGTTCAAGGTTGACCTAACTAAACAGATAAGTGGAATTAACAAACAAATTAACCAATGTGGTTAAACAAAAGTCAAATAAAAAAAGAAGTGCTAACTAAAACCATCTAAAACATGAAAGACAAATTTCCAATGACAAGGTGGCAAACAAAATCCTGGAGATAAAAAAAGTTCTATTGAAAATATGAACACCAGAAATAACCAATGTAAGGAGAAAGCATCAGAACTCAAGGACAGATAAGCAGAACATGATCTACTCAGAAAAACCTTAAAAGGCAGGAGAGTAACGAAGCTGATCCAACAGCTACCAGATGGCACTAAGAAGACTAATCTAAGACTACCTGGAGTTAAAGAAAAATTAGAGGGCAGCATGCATGGACTAAAAAAAAATCTCTTTACAGAAATAGCAGAAAATGTTCCAAGTATGGGGAGAGAATTCAACATACAGATAAAAAAGGCACAGAACCCCAAATGTACAAGGACAAAAGTAGTCCTCCATGACACATCATAGTTAGAATCCCAGAAGTCCAACACAAGGACAGAACTGTAAAAGATATGAGAGAAAAGCAACAAATCACTTACAAGGGAAAACTCTTGAGGATTACAGCAGATTTTTAAACTTAAATAGCCTAGAGCACTTGGAGTGAAGTGTCTCAAGCCCCAAAAGAAAATTTTCAACCCAGACTAATATACCTTCTAAGACTCTGAAAATTAATGGAGAAATAAGGATAATCTACAACAAAGAACACCTTAGGAAATTATGGCAACCAAACCAGCACTCCAAAATATTCTCAAGAATATCCTACACAGAGACAGTGGTATCAAGAATGCAAAAAAGATGGAATGAATACATTATGCAGGGCAAGAAGTTAAATAAAAAAAAGGAAAAAAACAATCAAAACTAGGAAAATATTACAATGATAGTGGTAAGACAATAATTTTCAGAAATAACTTTCCGTGTATATGGCTTTAACTCCCTGATTATTATTATTACTTTTTTGGAGACAGTGTCTCACTATGGAGTTTAGGTTGGCCTTGAACTCACTATGTAGCTCAGGTTGGCCTTGAATTCACAATGATCCTCCTACCTTAGCCTTCTGAGTGCTAGGATTACAGGAGGGTGCAATCATACACGGCTCAACTACCTAATTAAAAGACACTGACTGGTAGACTGAATCAAAAAATAAAATGCAGTGGTTAGCTGCATATAAGAGACACATCTAATCTAATCTAAGAATAAATTCATAGATTAAAAAAAAAATCAAAGGAAGAAAAACAGTATTCCATGCATTAGGACTCCCAAAACAAGCTGGGGTAGGAATCTTATTCTCAGACAAAGTGGACTTCAAGCTAAAACTGGTCAGAAGAGGCAAAGTAGGTCACTAAATATTGGTTATGAAAACAATTCAATCCAAAGACATAAAAACCATAAATACATATGCACCAAATACAGAGCATCTAACTTCATAAAACAAACACTAGTGAACATAAGAAACCAAGTAAACATCAACACAATTATAGGGGGGACCTCAATAACCGACTTTCACAAATAGATAAAAAGATCCTTTCTAATACATAGGTCTCAGAGTACCAGCAGCAAGTTTTATTCCCTGTGCTAATTAATTTTATGTGTTGATATGTCTGGTCATAGGGTACCCAGATATTTGGTCAAATATTATTCTAGGTATTTATCTTACTTTCCTCATTGCTGAGACCAAATACCCAATACTCAAAGTTAAAGGACAAAAGGTTTTTTTAGCTCCCAGTTTGTGGAGGTTTCAGTGCATAATTGGCTGGCTCCAAGACAGGGTGGCACATGGCAGAGGGGCAACAGTTCATGGTGGCAGAAGACAGCAAAAGCAACAAGAGAGAGACAAGCCTCTTTCTGTCCCTTATATTGTATCCAGTCTACTGGGATTATGGCAGTGCCAGTCCAATCAGTAGATTAATCCAGCAATCACCCATCCTTAATCTCAGCACCCTTAATCCTGGCATTGCACTATGAATCAGTCACACTCTAGATTCAGCCACCTCTGAAAAAAAATCTATGACTGCATGAGCCTTTGGGGGGGGGGACATCTAGACACATTTTTATAAGTGTATTAGATGAGATTAACATTAACTATGTATACTTTGAGTACAACTGGTTGGCCTCTATAATGTAGGTTTTGGGGGCTGGGGATTTAGCTCAGTGGCACAGTGCCTGCCTGGCAAGCGCAAGGTTGTGAGTTTGATTCCTAATACCGGAAAAAAAAACCAAAACCATTCTTGATTGGGCTGGGGGTTTAGCTCAGCGGCACAGCACCTGCCTGGCAAGTGCAAGGTCATGAGTTTGATTCCCAGTACCAGAAACCACCCCATA